ATTCAAGTGTAGAGATTGTTTTATCGGGATTCCGCTGATAAAGCGTACAGCCACCTGAAACTAAAATTTATTTTTCTGGTCCCTTTTAGAAAAACAACACGCCAGTCATAGAGTAATTGTGTAGATTACAACAGTGATAATTCTGGTTTTACCCCCTGTTAAGACAAGATTACACCAAACCTGGAGCATTGACGACACGTCAGGTCTGTAGATATTGTTATCCCGGAGATGATCCGATAAGGAATTTATTGAGTGATTAATTAATGTGTGTAATAGTAATATTAATAAGAATAGTAAGAAATACTCCCCGCGCTCATTGCCATCCATAGATTAATGAATAAAGAAAATCATAGGTATTGGTCTCTACCCAGTTTGATTTCACCATCTCTGTACGTCTTAGGAATGTACTTCGCCCCTGCACTTGACAGTTGCCACTCCTCCGTTAGTTCTTCTCTCGACTCGCCGGGCACTCCCCTCCAGGGTAGGGTTAGCGGGGGGATGTGATGGGGATGGTGGATGGGGAGGCAAGCGGCAAGTGCGTTCCCAGGCCAACCCTCACAAGGTTGACACCCGCCACACCCTCCCCCCTCACCCGATAGTTCGGGAGTTGTCGCTCAGACGTCGCCCACACGAACTCTGGCCAGAGATGATCTTATATATTTGTGATCATACCAAGTAACCCCTCTAAAAGGTCACAAGACTGCCGGCGGTAGAAGATGGGTCAGTTGGTCAATAAGACTAAAGCCGCAATAACCCATCGACACCAAAATTCACTCCACTACGACCGGGTTTAGGGTATATGAGCACTTAGAACTGATAAAATGGTTGCCAACCAAAAATATTTGATATCGTACCGATACCTAAGTATCTACGAACTGTCCACTTTAACGCGAAAAGAAAACACATAACAACCAACATTAAAATAAATGACCGATTATTGTTCTCCCGAAACTTCACTCTGGATCCATATAGTTTCAACCCCTGGGCCGTTGAAATGTGTCTACCTCCCGTCCTTGCCGAAAAGAAAAAGTGTATAAATTCAATGGTGTCCTAAAAGAAGTCAAACAAACCGACATTTTTAAGACGTAAATACTATGCTCCTTAAACGAACCGAAACCCCCACAAATGCTCAGGACTGGATTAACGGCCTAGAACAACGTCGAATGAGAGTGGTTTTATTATTGATCCAGTAGTAACGTCCGGATGCCAATCGTTCTTAAAACCAAAAAGAAGAAATCCTTCCCGTTTTTATTTTGACTTCCTCAAACCGCACCGGAAGTGAAGTTCCCAGCTCTTTCTAACCTGGATCGAGGTGGCGTCTCGTCGCTACGGTTCTCTCTCTCTGTGTGTTCCTGAGAAAGTGTGTGTGAGCTCCAGCTCTACTGATCCATCATCTGTGTGTCTGGATAAACCTCTGAATGGACTGCGTGCTCTTTTTTCTGGAGCGTTTACCTCGGACTATATGAGCTAGCTTAGCATGCTAGCTGGAAACACGTTAGCAACACTAGTCAGATTGAGAGTTTGATGGAGAGAGAAACGGTGTGTTTAACGGAGTCTGCAGGAAAAGGTGATCTAGGAAACATGAGTAAAGTCCAAAAGCTGCTGTCGTTGAAGAAGCAGCGACTCACTGCTGCTGCTGAAGAGATATTTGCTCTGTTTGAACAAACGATAGCAGAGCTCGAGGAGGAGCTGTTTCTTTCCAAAGAGGAGAACAAGAGACTCCAGAAACTACTGGACGCTGTTTTACAGCCTCAGCTTCGGATACACAGAGCAGGTATGTTCCCTCTACTCTTAATTAACACTTTAAACCAGGGGTGTCCAAACTACGGCCCGGGGGCCAAATGCGCATTTTGAATCGGCCCTCAGCTAATTCAAAAAGTATGATGAAATATGGCCCACAACAAATGAAACTTATATTGTACTTCTTAAATATATATGTAAACATATATTACACAGTAGTAGTATTCATGTGTTAATAAGCCCACTTTTAAAATAAATTCAGTCAATTTATGTTGATAACCTTTTCTAACAAATCTTAGTTGATACGAAAAAGCCTAATAACTTATTTACNATTTTTCCCGATCCGATCTTTATGCAATGCATTAAGAGGAAAAAAAGAAAAAAAGCATTCAAGTTGTCCCTTAAGGTTATTTTTTTATTTAAATTGGATATTCTTATCCAATTTAAATAAAAAAATAACCTTAAGGGACAACTTGAATGCTTTTTTTCTTTTTTTCCTCTTAATGCATTGCATAAAGATCGGATCGGGAAAAATCGGTATCGGCAAATTGTCAAAATCAAATGATCGGAATCGGATCGGGAGCAAAAAAAGGTGATCGGGACATCCCTAGTAATTTAAGCAGAAAAGACGAAAGAACTGAAACAAAAAGAACCCAAAAATCTTCTGAAACTGCATGTGTTGTTCATGATGAAGACTCTTGCACTGTTGCAGTCTGGGAATCAGGGTCAACTCAATGCGGTGTGAAATAGCAATGCCTCCTTATCATCGTCCATGAATCACTAACTTGTTATTTTTTAGAAGATTTACTTTCTCTTTCACTCATCAGAAGTAGTGTCTCTGCATTTTAAAAGCACCTGCTGCCGTGATCCGGGCAAATACATACATTCCCAGATGACTGGCGTTTCAAGGAAAGACAAGTGAGCCATTGAGAAGGGGAAATAGGAGGTAGAGTGAGGAAGTAGAGGATCAGCTTTGGTGGTTTTTAATCACCTTAGCCCAGGGCCAGGACGTCCTCAAGTTTCACGATGATCCGCGATTTGAGATTAAACAAAGCCTGGTGTCATTTTTCGTATACATCCCGAGCAACAGGCTACACAAGCAATCGATAATGAGCCTCATATAGGAGTTAACCACGCATCAAACACTGTTATTAGTTGTTGCACTTTTCATTTGATAATGGCTCTGTCTCCATGACGCAAAGTGAAGCTGGCATTGAGGCCAGGCCAGGACGCTTGAGGTTTCCTGAACCCATGTTCAATTCTGTGGTTTCTATTCCCCAATCCTCTAATGATCGTGCATTTGGCTCGGATTGAAGAAATACTCCCCTGAAAGCTGTCCCGTGTGTGTGCTGCGCTCTGGCAGTGTTTTTTGGGGGGGGGTAAAAAGCAGACAAAAACTTGGCCGGCACCGAGATATGAGGTACTGTAGAACCTAGAGTATACCCACTGTTCGTAATCAAAATAAAACTCTTTGTGTTTTCCCTCGTAAAACATTTTTGTATGGTTGGCATTCAAAAAGCTTCTCGGCCAGATTGCTCCTTACTGTGATGGATTGCAGGCAAAGCTGTTGGTCATTAAACTGAATTTGGGATGAATCGGACAGCTTTAACAAATACATCAAAGCTGGCACTGCGCTGGCTGTCTGCCAGAAAACCCCCTGCAGCGCTGGAGGCCTGATGAATTTGGCACACATGCATTTACATTAAATACCTTCACAAATCATGCACACGCACATAAACACACACATATGTTGTCAAATAAAACTTTAAATGGACTCATTCTCACCCTTGCACACATGCCGCACACAATTACCAGAAGCTTGTACGTTCATGCAAACACTCGAGTCTCAGTGCAGGTTTTAACGATCGCTCTGGGGCACTTTACACAGAAAAGTGTAAATGTCTGAGTGGAGATGAAGAGCCAAACACACTCGCATAAGTCTCATCTTAACAGGAAAACAGTCGTAGCTTAAATGCAAAGCTCATAAATCACAAGCACAGCTACTTCATAATAAAGTAAAATCAGGTTTTCAGACTATTTGAGAGTCACTAAATCTGTCTTTCATCAGTCGTGGTATATCCAAAACCACATAAATGCTGATGATGACTCCAATTGGACTGGATCAGGAGAACACAAGGAAGCGTTACTGAGCACGAGTTGGAAACAATATACAAAGGATCCTTTGCGTACAAAAAGTATGCAGGTTGAATGTTAAAAAAAGGGATTCCAGACGGAGATGTTATTGTGACTTCTATAGGACTCACATTTTAAGATTTGGGGCAATTTGAAAAGATTCGTGACTGCCAGGGAAAACAATGACTTGTAAGAAAGGAAGTCAATGTATGTTTTCCCCTGGGATGACCCTTCATTCGTTCTTCCTGACTCCAGACAAGTTAAATGTGAGTTTGACATTCATTTACACACAGCCTTGTAATACAGTATATGTTTGGCAGTGCAACAGATTGTCCTCCACACAGTGAGGCACAGGCTGTGGTCTCGCAGCACGGTGTAACTCAACATAATGAACCACATCTGAGTGTGTGTATCTCCCTGCCTGTGTGTTTGGGTAAAGAGATTGATGTGCCTCTGCTAACAAGCTCTCAGCTGTTATTTCACCCCCGCTCTCTTTGTCATTGTCTGTTTCACCACAGAGCAGCGGGAGTGTACTGAAACACAGCCAACTCTCTGCCTCTCTTTACCTCTGTGCCCACTGTTCATCCCCCAACACACACACATCGAAACACACACACACACACACACACACACACACACACACACACACACACACACACACACACACACACACACACACACACACACACACACACACACACACACACACACACACACACTCTTGGTCCAGACCTCTGGCCTGCGGGATTTGAGTTACGTGGCCACCTTCTCGTCTTCCTAATCCCTTCAAATTAGAGTTTTGGACTGCCAAGGAACTCCCAGACGAACACAAACACACACACACACACACACACAATTGTAGCCGAGTTTCCAAGTGGCCCTCTGAGATATTCTTTTCAGGGTTTGGTGTCCAGCGAGTAAACACACACTTTTGCAAATACACACTTGGGGGCAGGCCACACACACACACACACACACACACACACACACACACACACACACACACACACACACACACACACACACACACACAATTGTAGCCGAGTTTCCAAGTGGCCCTCTGAGATATTCTTTTCAGGGTTTGGTGTCCAGCGAGTAAA